CCAGGAGGCTAAAGCATAGACAATTTCTCCTGAGATTTCCAGACCTCTATTCTAATTTTTTCTTTCTCCTCTAATATGTAAATGTGCCTCTGTAAAAGAGGCACCAACCACATATCTATTTAAGAGCTAGAATCCTTAAACACCTAGCACTGTCCTCCTCCAGCTCTTGATTTCAAGAAATTAAAGGTCTGCAAGGCCATTTGGTACACCTTTATTCTTAACATCTCATTACTCACTCACCTGGAGACAAGTATTTTAATTCTAGAATTTCTAAGGAATTCAGTCTTTAAATATGAAAACAAAGAGAATAACAATTTGTCATGCCATCATTTTGACCAAACTACTTTCACTATTTAAAAAAAAAAAGTAAAACAAATTATTCATAAATGGCAGGATGGCACAGGAAAGAAAATGCAAGTTATTTTGTATAATCAATCATTTGATTCTTAACAAAACCTCATCAAAAAGCAGGCACTTACCTCAAAAAAAAAATTCTGCTTATCTAACCAATTTGATACTAGGTTCCTAGACTTCAACAAAGCAAAATGACCTTTATTTGAGAACTCCTTAATTCCTTAACTCCTCATCCCCTTAATCACAGGATTATAGAAGACAAAATATGATAGAGATTACAGGTTTAAAAGATCCAACAGATAATCTAGAATTGTATTGCTGAGCATCTCAAAGAGAATTTCAAGACTGATAAAGGAAAAGCTTTGGGATCCACAGGAAAGAAAGCATCTATACTAGATTTATCAGATAAATTCCTAAATTCTAATAGATTTCTAAATCTTATAGAGCTATATTTCATTTGTTTTCAAATAAAATTCTACAAATATGCAAAAAAGGTAAGAAAGGGAGGAAAGCATCAAAAATACATTAAATTTTTGGTTACAGATGTCAAAACTTCAAGTAACTTTTATGGATTCTTATGGCATTTCTTTAAAAATAGTCAATTTTCAAAGCTAACTTAAAAGGAGCTCATCACATATATTAATATTTATATAAGCATATATACATGTGTATCTCATTGAAGTTTAAATTTTTCTATTACTGCGCATTAATTTTTTCAAGAAACAAAGTTATTCTTTTCTAGATATATACATTCAATACACTGAAGTTCCATTAATATTAATGGTTCTTACCAGAAGTTAAAAGTTCTCTAAAACTTCAATTTATACAACATACTAACATGTAAACCTTCAAAATATGCTAAACACTTGTTTAAAAATAACTGGGATTTCAGTCAACAGAAAACATCTTCATTTTGATACTAGGGGTCATATACATGTAATTCCTGTAAACATTTAAATGAAATCTGAGCACACACCTCCAACCTTCAAAATGAACATATAAACCTAGAGAGAATTAACAGTTTTAACATGCATGCTTGGTTGGTCAAAAGGAAATAGCTCACTGTGGCCATATAATAGATATTTGCTGTAAATTGTAACTGTCACAAAAGTATGTCCTATTATTTCATGAATTAACAGAGCCTCACTACTTTTATGTGACACAAAAATCTACTGTAATCTAACCTGCCAGAAAAAATTCCGGTTAATTGGAAGTTCAAGTTAAATGGTTGCAAGAATTTTCGAACATCAAAAAAATGGAGAACACCACAATGAGAAGTTTTTTAACTAGAGTTTAATCTCGGAAATTCACAATCCAAATTTTGTGGCTCCAAAATTCCTAATACTTATAATAGATGTCAACAGATAATTCAACATTATGTCCTGAGTATCTAATTCAGGACCTGGGTCACAGCAATAGCTCAATAAATATTCAAAAAAATGAACGAATGATAAAAAGGCATACCTTTAGGAAGAAACAAAATAAAATCTTTCACAACTCCCAATGCTATCTTCAAGCATCTCAAACTACAGACAAAAGTAGAAGAATCTTAAAAACATCAATTTCTCTATTTACAAAATCCATTTTAAAATATTCATTTACAAATTTTCAAGGTAAAAAGAAAAACCTCTGATGTATTCAATTTGTGTCGTTCAGTAAATAAACTTTTATCTTCTAAGAATGAAAGCTCAGTATTGGGGTGAGATGAAAGGGGAAAATGTCTGTCAATGTACTCGGCATGTTTAATGGATGCCATAAATCAAACCTTTCCACGAATTTTCTAGAGCATATTCATGCCAATCTTTGAGCCTATTGTCACTTTCACACATGCTCACAGGAACAAAATGACAAAGAATGCAACGCCTGAACCACGGACTTCAGGGCATGAAACACTTGATTAACAATTGTCAAGGCTCTGAATAGTAAATATCGAGAGATTTTCAAAAGAAAGTAATCCCACCGATTCCTCCATAAATCGAAACCCTTAATTTCTTTAGAAGATTCACTAGACTGTTGGACTTCCAGACCTTATTTTGAAAACGTGCCTGCAATCTCCTTGTATTAGACAACTGGGAGTGAAAACCCCATTTACCAATTGCTGATTAATCGCTAAGCGTTTCCCAGACAAAAGAGAGTTAAAACAGACTCCACGCATATTTATTCTTCCCGCATAAATACATGTTCTCCCAAATTTCATTTTATGTCGTATACTTAGAGTTAAATACAGCAAGTTGAAATTTTAGTCAAAAGCACGCCGGTGGCTTACAAGCTGTGTAACTGCTACATCTGGTGGCAGCACACTTGCTTGCAAGCCAGAAAACTTAGAAAACAATTGTAACTGATCTGGTGCGTGTTTGCAGTAACCTTTACGTAGACATTTCCCACAAAACCCGCGACCCCGTCTGAGATGAACAGAAGCCTACTTTCAGTAAAAAAAGGTAACGCACAAACACGCAGGAGGCGACGGTGAAGGAGAGAAAGTTGCAACCATCTGGAGGGGGTGGTTTTAAAAGCCTGCCCACGAGGCAGTCTGTCCTTTGAATTGCTCTAGGGGGCCACCCAGGGGATCAAAGTCTGCCTAGATATCTAATTTCAGCCTCTCCCCGCCAAAGGGCAGAGACCCTGCAAGCAAGGGGTATCCTCCAGGTCCAAGGCAGCGAAGCTCGCAGAGGCGGGACCGCCTCTATGGGAGGAGTGCGCGGGGGAAGGGGAGGGGGCTCGAGGACCAATGCTCCAACGAGAGGCAAAACCCACCGGAGACCCGGAGGCCAGAAGGTTAAGAGTACGGAGTGTACTGGCAAATGGAGCAGAAAGAGGATCGCTTACGGGGGGGGCGGGGAGGGCTCCCACCCTCGCAGGACTGGCATCTAGGAAACCCAGGCGAGTCTGTGAGCCTCGCCCCGTCCCCACCAGCGTGCACCCCCAGTCCGCCGCCTCCGCCACCCGCAAACCACCACCCACAGCCAGCGCACTACCTCCCGGGAGCCCGGCGGCCTCGCGTCCACCTCGTCACCATCCCCCACCGCGGGGTCGGGCGGAGGAGACCCGGGGGGCGCGGGGGCCGCGGCGCAGGCGGGAAGCCCGCGAACGGGAGCGGGCGCGGCAGCGCTTACCTTCCCTGGGCCTCCCGGATGGCGGCGTGTGATTCAGCAGGGACCTGGCCGCCGCTGCCGAGCCCGGGGTTGGAGACGTGGAGAGCTGGGACCAAGATGGCGGCCCCTCCAAACTTCCACTGCTACTTTGGACACTCATCAAGCTACTTTCTGGGAACCCGACTCCCCCCCTGCGACGGCAGCGGCAGCGGCAGCAACGGCACCGGCACCCGCCTCCGTCATGGCGGGGGCAGCGCTGTGGGCGAGCGAGAGAGCGAGGGCAGGGAGGGGAGAGTCAAGGGGATGGGGGAGGAAACTGAGAAGAGAGGAGGTGGGGAGGGAAGAGGTGAGGGAAGGAGAGGGGACGGGGAGGAGGGAGAGGGGGAGAAGCGAGGGAGCGAGCGGGCGCGCCGGAGAAGAGGCAGAGGAAAGGAGCGCGGCGGCGGAGGCGTCGAGGGGGCGCCCGCCGAAGCTGGGGTCGGAGCGCGGGCGGAGCGCGGGCTGCGCCGGCCGAGAAGACTTCCGCGGGCGGAACCTGCCGGCACCTCTGCAGTGCGTCGGCCCTCGGCGTCGCCCGGGTGGTGGCGGCGGGCGGTGGGTGGCGGCTGAGGCGGCGGGGTAACCTCTGCATCAGTTACAGGCGGCGGCGGCGTCACGCGCCGCCTGTGCAAACACTATCGCGAGGCTCCTGCGCCTCCGGTAGCGGCGGCGGCGGCAGCAGTGGCGGCCTCGGGAGCAGACTTGGGGGAGGGACCTGCCGGGGTGGGGGTGTGGAGAGGGAGCGAGCGCGCGAGGGAAGAGACCCCGGCGTCCGCGGATTGCTGCGCGGCGCGGGAGCCCGAGGCCGACGGAGTCGAGGGCGCGGGGGCAGCGTCCCGGCGCCGGCCGGAGGGAGGCGCGCCCCGCACGCGCCCTCGCCGCGCCGCCCCTGCTCCCGCGCCGCGGCCACCTGACTCCCCCTCTGCCGCGGAAGCGCGCTTGGCTCCTGACCCACACCCAGCCCGGGGAGATAGGCTGCTGCTCGCGCTCGGCTGTCGCTTCTCCGGAGTTCGATGTGATCGTTTCTCAAAGTGGAACTGAAAAGTTGAGAGTTTCTTCTCTCTGGCCCCGCTGTACTGAGCAAAAAATCCTGCGTGCGCCTCCCCGTCTGCAGAATGGGAGCAATTACGGAATAAAAGAGCTATGGAAATAAGTGTGGGGATTAGGAGGCGTTCGGAAATAAAACTTTTTCATGTTTTCTGAGAAGGAATCTTCAATAAATTAAAAGGTACTACTGGCGTTGTAGACTGTATAGTACAGCAGTTCTTTGTTTTAAAACAATAAATAGAAAATGTTCACTGAATTCACACATTTAAGGAAACAGCCGTATACACTCTTCATCTGCTGGAAAAGGGTATGGTTTCTAGAAATTTCCACTCTGCTTCCAGTGCTGCTGCTGAGTCTCGACTACAAAAATCCCAAAACAAATTACCGCATTTGTTAAAATTTATAGATACAGTGTAGCTTTCCACTCACCCTACCCGAACACACACACCGGGGATTGGGCATCTTGTACATAGAAGAGCAGACTAATAGTTCAGGGAAAATACAACAAAAGTTATTGCTCTCTTTAGAAAACCAAATTGAATAGAACACTAAAAAGATTATGATGTAGAGCAACTGTACAGACATGAGGAAATGGCATGATTACCAGGGGGACAAATATGTCATTTCATATTTTTTATTTTTATGGCTCTGCATTTGTCACAGTAATGTTTTTTTAGCTAAACTAGAATAGAACCTTGGTTGTCAGTTATCTCCAGGAGTAATTTTAGTTTTCGTGTGCTTTAGATTCTTCACAGTTGTTAGTCATGTCTGTTTTTCAAACTTCAGAGGTAGATGTCACAAACAACTTTATCCAGGTGTAAATTACATATAATAAAGTACACATAGATCAAGTGGACTTTTGATGTGTAAACACCCTTAGAACCACTTCCACAATTAAGGCGGTAAATATATAACCCTCCAGAGTTTCCTCTACACCTTTGTGGTTCCTCCTCTCTACTCCCAATACCAGGTAACCACACATCTGCCTTCTGTCACTGCAGAGTAGTTCGAATTTTCTAGAATTGTAGATAAATGTAAAGCACAGTTTGTACTCTTCAGCTCCTTTCACATAATTATTTTGAGAATCATCTACATTGTTGCATTTATCAATAGTTCATTTCTTTTTATTTCTGAGTAGCACTCCATTGTATGAACATACAGACTATGTTTATCAACTGCTGGACGTTTGCATTGTTTTCACTTTTTTTTTTTGAGGCAGAACCTCAAGCTATAGCCCTGGATAGAGTTCTGTGGTGTCACAGCTCACAGCAACCCCAAACTATTGGGCTTAAGGGATTCTCTTAACTCAGCCTCCCAAGTAGCTGGGACTACAGGCACCCGCCACAATGCCCGGCTATTTTTTTGGTTGTATTTGTCATTGTTTGGCAGGCCCAGGCCAGATTCGAACCCACCAGCTCTGGTGTATATGGCTGGTGCCTTAGCTGCTTGAGCTTATAGGTGGCACCTTTTTTTTTTCTTTGAGACAGAGTCTCAAGCTGTTGCCCTGGGTAGAGTGCACTAGCATCACAGCTCAAAGCAACCTCAGACTCTTGGGTTTAAGCAATTCTCTTGCCTCAGCCTCCTGAGTAGCTGGTACTACAGGCACCTGCCACAATGCCCTGCTATTTTTTTTTGGTTGTAGTTGTCATTGTTTGGCAGGGCCAGGGTAGATTCAAACCCGCCATTTCTGGTGTATGTGGCTGGCGCCCTAGCTGCTGAGCTATAGGCACTTTTTGACTATTATGAATATGAATAGCGCTGCTGTGAACATTCGTATACAAGTCTTTGTGAGGACATATGCTGTTCTTTCCCTTGGATACATAGGGACAGGGACTTCACCATTAAATTTTTATACCAAAGTACATGCTCTATAAGGGGAAACAGTTTCTATAACAACATGTAGATAACTGTATGCCCTTTCTGTATTTTTCAGAGTAAGCTTAGTCAGCAGATTGTGGTAAAAAGCATAGAACAGGAAGGAAATTAAGAAACCTGGTTATTAGTCTCAGCAGGTAACAATCCTTGATTCCATTTCCTCATCTATCAGAAAGAGGTTAGAGTCATTGTGATCTCTAAAGCACCTACCAAATCCAATGTTTCTGAGTTCAATTTGTCTCAAAAATAGTAAACAATAGGCCAGGAGTGGTGGCTTACGCCTGTAATCTTAGCACTCTGAGAGGCCGAGGCAGATGGATTGTTTGAGCTCAAGAGTTAAAGACCAGCATGAGCAAGAATAAGACCCTGTCTCTACTTAAAATAGAAAAATTAGCCAAGAAAGGTGGCATACAACTGTAATCCCAGCTACTCAGGAGGCTGAGGCAAGAGGATCAATTGAAGCCAGGAGTTTGAGGTTGCTATGGGCTGTGACACCACGGCACTCTAGTCTGGGCAACAGATTGAGCCTCTGTCTCAAAAAAAAAAAAAAAAAAAAAGTTAAAAAACCTGAACCAAAGAGGTTTGATGATGGTAAGTTATCTTCCTCCCCACCTCTCCAGAGCTTCAAGTTACCTTTATACCAATCCATATTACATGTTATGCAGACTAGTTCTTTTTATTTAAAATGTAAATAGAGGATCCCAGCACATACATAACCAAATTATTTTAGATATATGTCTTTTTGTTGTGAGTGCTGCCTTAGAAGGATAATTACCTGTTTAATTCTTGTATTCTTATAGCTTATGATAATAAAGATAGTACCCAGAAACTTATAAAAAGACCTCTACCCACAATAGGGAGCTATTGAAACAAACTGTAGCTTAGCCTGAAAATGCAATATCATCGTTTAAAATCATGGCACAATGATGGCAGGCTCAGTGCCTGTGGCTCAAGCGGCCAAGGTGCCAGCCACATACACCTGAGCTGGAGGGTTCGAATCCAGCCCGGCCTGCCAAACAACAATGGCCATAACCAAAAAATAGCCAGGCATTGTGGCAGGCTCCTGTAGTCCCAGCTACTTGGGAGGCAGAGGCAGCAGAATCGCTTGAGCCCAGGAGTTGGAGGTTGCTGTGAAGCTGTGATGCCACAGCATTCTACCCAGGGAGAAAGATTGAGGCTCTATCTCAAATAAATAAATAAATAATAAAATAAAGTAAAAGCATGCCTTCAGAGAACACTGAAAATATAATACTGTCACACTGTAGTAACTGAAAAAGTGGGTATGATCCCAATTTGCAGGTATGTATACAAAATAACAGGAAGGATACACCACCAAAAGTTAATAACTTTTAGTCTTAGGTTGTGCGATTACATAATTACTATTTCTTCCTTTCTCCTTTTCCAAATGTTATACAATGAATCAAGTATTTCTTTTTATATTCAGACAAGGTTCAGTAAATACTTTTTAAGTAATTTAAGCATTATGTGTGCCACTACATAATTTTATACAATGATCATGTCAAATAAATGAAAACTTTTAACTGGCAAGTAGAAGCTGCCTCATACCTTGCATATTTGCTAGTACACAGGCATTCAAAAAATGTCTGATGGAGCAATCAGATGGCTAGAGTGACAGACTGAATGATAGGAAAAGAGACAGAAAAGTCAGGAGAGTCCAGATTCAAACAGAAAGGAACACCTGCCACTCTGCGGGGAAAGAGAAATCTCAAGAACAAGAAAAGATCATTGGAAGGAGGTTTTGGCAATCTTCTTTGGGGAAATATTCCCAGAGGGAAAGCCAACTTGAGAATACAGGCATGAACTGAGCAAGTAAAAGAAGGCAGTCCACTTGCATAGGAAGAATTGGGAAGAGACTGGGAATGCTCTGTGAATTGAGTCTTCTACAAGGACAGGGACTCAAGTCCCAGTATAATTTCGGGCACAGACTAATGGCTCTGTCCATGTTTGTGTAATGAGTGAAAGATGAGATCGGTGAGCTGGAATACAGGTGAGGAAGCAATGCAGGAGAGGTCTACCATAGGCTCCTGATGGAAGGTCAAGTGCAGAAAGGGGAGCCTTGATCCATAGGATGATCAGAGTTTACAACTATGGTTATTCTTGGTAGGTTTTTTGAGATAGGGTCTCACTCCGTCACCCAGGCTGGAGCACAGTGATACAATCATAGCTTATTGTAGCCTGGATCTCCTGGGCTCAAGCCATCCTTCTGCTTCAGCCTTCCAAGTAGCAAAGACTGACTACAGGATCGTGCCACAATGCCTGGCAAATTTTTTTATTGGTTGTAGAGACAGGGTCTCGCTTTGTTGCCCAGGCTGGTTTCAAACTGCTAGCTTCAAGCAATCCTCTTGCCTTGGCCTCTCAAAGTGCTGATATTGGAGTACCTTGTCTATTACATGAGGCCAGGCTCATGAGTCACCACGCCCAGGCAACCATGTTTATTAAACTCTTTTCTACATATATACCACAGTAAAAATATTTATAAGGCAGCTAGGATTTAGGTATATTAATAATAATAAAATACATTTCATACCTCTTAACATTTGATTCCTTCTAAATTCAAGGGAAAAAACTAATGTTGAAGACACCTAAATTCCTTTTGCAAAAATCAACAAATAATGAACTGAGGGACTAGATTAAGTGTCCTTTCTGAGTACTCCTATACAGTAGGGCACTAGAACTGCTTCATAAGGCCCTGAGAGCCAATCATGTACCTGGCTTCCCAACTCAGTGTTCACTGAAGTTACAATTATAGCTTGAAATCAGCTGTGGTGAAAGTATTTACACCTCCATAGTCAGCAAAAACTACAAATTAGGGCTTCTTCTCCCCCATCCAAGCCAGTTATTAAGCATTCACCAGCATACCATTGCTCCGATAGTATATTTATCATTGTTGTA